ATAAAGCCTGCTACGGCCTGCAGCTCGATCCCATAAATATCACTCATAATCAGGCCCTCAACCTCAACTCAGTCATCAACCTCTCCAGTCTCTCGGGCACACAAATCTCATGCCAATCAACCCAAACAATGATACATGATGTAACAATAAATGATAACAGAAACTGAGATATGATATGCAAATGATGAATGTGACTGAGTACATAATTGCAATTTAAGTAAATAACTCAACATAAATGACCTCGGTGGGTCCCAACAATACAAGCATATAGCCTAATCATGATTTCTAACATGGATCACAACTGAATTACTATAACATATGGGGATTACATGAATAACAACAAGATTTGATAATTATACAGTACCACGGAATCAACTGAGTCTATCATGAATACATTCGGTATTCCATATTTCCATGCTTCGGAAGTACCATGAGGACAAATCGCATTTTTTGGACTTCAGCACGGTTCAGCTTGATGAGAATTTAGCCTATGAGGAGGGGCTGATGGCTATTCTAGCCCGGTAGGTTCATCAATTGAGGTCTAAGAGTTTTCCTCCTGTGAAAGTGCAATGAAGAGGTCAGCCAATCGAGGCAACTACGTGGGAGTCTGAGACCGATATACGGAGTAATTACCCATACCTTTTCACCAGTCCAGGTACTTTTTCTATGTCCGTTCGAGGACGAACGTTTCTTCTAGAGGTGGAGAATATGACGACCCGATAGGTCATTTTAAGTACTATCCCCTACTTTCATATTTCAAGATCTCCCGTAGCTTCATTTGATGTTTCTTGGTTTGCGCGCATGGTCCGTGTCGCTTTTCGAAAAGCTTTTATATGGAATTTTGATAGAAATGGAAATTTTGACTAAAAATGAGGCAAGGATTGATCACGGTCAACATTCTTGGTAAATGACCCTGGATTAGTATTCTGACAATCTCGGTGGGTCCGTACGGTAATTTTGGACTTGGGCATATGTCTAGAATTGAATTCGGAGGTCCCTATGTTGATTTGACTTGTTTTGTCAAAAGCTAGTAATTTGAAGGTTGGGAATTTCTTAGGTTTGACCGTAGGTTGACTTTATGTCTACCGGGTTCGGATTTTAATTTTGGGACTTGGTACAATTCCGTTTTATTATTTGAAACTTGTCCGCAAAATTCAGTGCAATTCGGAATTGGTGTGATTGATTCAGACAATTAGTTGTGATTCTAGTTGTTCTTGAGTTTCCCTTTGAAATTTCATTCATTTTGATGTTCAATTTGTAGTTATAAATGTTATTTTGGTGATTTTATCACGCGAGCGAGTTCATGTGATGTTATTATACTTGTGTGCATGTTTGGTTTGGAGCTCGAGGAGCTCGGGTGAGTTTTAGATGCATTGAGGAATAGTTTGGTTGAAGTTTGAATAACTAGTGCATTTCTGTTGTTGGTGTGGTTTGCAGATCTCGCATTTGCAATCAAGACATCGCATTTGCGAGTAGGGGCCTGGGCTGGGTGATCATGCAATTGCGAGGAATAAGTTTGCATTTGAAAATTGTCAGAGGTCGCATTTACGATATCAGAGTCGCATTTTACGACTCGGTGTTCTGAGGGGTGAGCTTTGCATTTGCGAAGAATTTGTCTGCATTTGCGAAGGTGGGACAGTTCGCAATTGCAAACCTTTTGTTGCATTTGCGACTTTTGGGCTTTTGAGGCAGGGTTCAAATTTGCGACCTTTGTCTGGCATTTGGCGATGCTCGCAATTGCGATATCCGCAACTGGGTAAAAAAGGGAGAAATTGGGACTTAACTCATTTTACACCATTTCTCAACCCTAAATACTCTAGAGGCAATTTTTCAAGAGACTTTTCTTCCCAAAATCATTGGTAAGCAATTTTAATCCATTTCTTTTCGATTACCCATTACTTTTCATGTGTTTTCAATATTAAATCTAAGATTTTCATGGTAGAAATTAAGGATTTGGGTAGAAATTGAGAATTTTATAAAATTGAGATTTAGACCTCAAATTGAGATTAGATTTCGAAACAAATCATATAATCGGGCTCGGGGGGTGAATGCATAATCGGGTTTTGATTCGAATCTCAGGTTTTGACCAAGCTAGCCCGGGGTTGACTTTTTAAAAAATCATTAAAGATCGAATTTTTTCACTTGTGAGTAGTTTCTAAAGCTTATTTTGAATTATTTGATCGATAATTGGTTAGATTTGGTTGGTTGGAGGCTTGTTCAAAAAGGCCAGGCCATGGTTGATTGATTGCTTTGGTTGCGGAGTGAGGTAAGTGTCGTGGTTAACCTTAACTTGAGGGAATTAGGACTAGTTGGTCTAATTGCTATGTGAATTATGTGTGGAGACGACGTATATATAAGGTGTCGAGTATATATACGTTGTCATTGGGTTAAAGCATGCGGGTGGAAGTTGTTTATCGTGTTATGTTGATTCATTGACTATGTTTTACATGCTTACTTAGATTATTACTTATTCGCCTTCTTATCTATTGTTCATTTTGAAGTTGTTGAGATTTTTAAAAGATGAATTGTGTTTTAATTACATTATGAATGAAGTAAAATTGCTTTCCACCTTGTTTTGCTATCTTGAAATATTGTTGTTACTTGGTGAGGAGGAGAGAAAAATACGAAGGATATTGCCGTGCCTTATTTGCATACAATATCATTTATATGAGAGATTGAGAGGATTAAAACACGAAGGGTGATGTTGTGCCACCGACTGATTATGATCATTTATCACATTATGAGAGAAAGAGAGTAAAAGCATAAAGGGTGATGCAGTGCCATTTCATTATGATATTACATGGTGAGGACGAGAGTAAAAGCACAAAGGGTGATGCCGTGTCATTTTTATTTCATTGCCTTATTTGGTTTCCGAATTGGTGATTTACTTGGTCGCATTATTGTTTACTTCGGAAAGCCATTACTTGGTAATTTCACACTTGTCGTTCTTATGATATATCCCCTTTCGCATATCCCCTCCCAGTTAACGTGTTAATTGCCCTACTTGTTGCTTTGTTACTCTACGTATATCTATCTATACAGGTTTTAGTAGGTGGCTTGTCATAGCCTTGTCACTACCTCGTCGGGGTTAGGCTCGACACTTACGGAGTATATTAGGTCAATTGTACTCATAGTACACTTCTGCACTTCTTGTGCAGATACTGGTATTGATCCTAGCGGTGTTTAGAGGTGCGTTTGCTTGGATCATATTTGCATCAGAGACTTGAGGAGAGTTGTTGGTGTTCGCAGACCTTGAAGTCCCCATCCATTTCCTATCTTTACAATTTATCTCATTCTAACAGTTGTATTTATTTCAAACTATACTTGTAGACTTCTAGTTGCTCATGTACTGGCGACACCAGATTTCTAGGATTGAGTTATACCGTGTTATGTTATGGGTTTATTTCATGTATTTTAGCTATAATCATTGTTAATAATTGTTATTATTTTGTTTTGAACTATTTGAATATTAAATTGGTTAACTAGTGTTGGCTTGCCTAGCAAGTTAACGTTAGACGCCATCGTGACCCCGAGGTTAGGATTCCGGGTCGTGACAACCTATGAACTTCTAAATATTCAAATTGTCAACTTTCGTCAAATAAAGCCAAAATCTTACAAGAACATCCGAATTTAAATCCGAACATACAACTAAGTCCAAAATCACCATACGAACTCATCGGGACCATCAAAATACGAATCCGAGACCGTTTATATAAAAGTCAAACCTTAGTCAACTCTTCAACTTGAAGCCTCCAAAAATGAAATTTTTCCTTCCAAATCAATTCCGAACCTCTCGAACATCGAAACCAACCATACACGCAAGTCATAATACATTATTTGAAGCTACTCAAGATCTTAAATCATTAAATGAAATATTAATGCTGAAAATGACCGATCGGATCATTACATTTAAAATATGACAAAGCTCTACTTATATCTAGAGCGAACCAGTAGCAAACCCAGAAGAAAAAATATGGCGACGAAAACACACGTGGTATGCAGCAACGATATGATCAACCATCTTAGATTAATGAATGAATACTAATTGCTAAAAGGTTTGATACACTTAATCGAACTCGAGACAAAAAACTTGCTGGTGTGGTGAAAACTCCTAACGTTTTAGATTCTCTTGTTTTGAGTTTCATAGTGAGTAAAACTCCAGGAACGATTATTGAAGTTCGAAATAATAAAAGTTCAATCTCTATAATTTTTTCCGGAGTTAACTTCACATATCAAACTCCAGGAATAATTTATGGAGTTTAAATTGAAGCTATCCTCTATAATAACCTTGCTATTAGGGTTACCGTTGAACTAGTAAAGGTTCAAACACCAGGAATCGTTATTGGAGTTTAAACGAGTAAAGGTTCAAATAGCAGGAATTATTCATGAGGTTTGAACTCCAACATATTTTAGTAGGGTTGCACTTGTCAAAGCTTTGAAATCCAGTACCCATTGCTGGAATTATGTTTTGTACTTTAGTTGGGGTGAAAATGTTAATTTAATCGGATCAATGGCTACTTTGCCATTATAATTTAAAAAATGGCTACGTTCTAATAGCCGACACCAAAAGTGGCCAATCCAGCTAATTTTTTACATTTTATGGGTAAGTGGCCCTAAATATTTTATTTTTTTGGTACCTTCAAATTTTCTTTTAACAATAGTGGAGCCTTTGTTTGAATGGTTGTTACCTGTTGTATTAAATTATATTGTTACTTTAAATACAATATTTATTTTTATTTTGATTGTTACTTAAATTTTATTGTATGGTATTGTTAAATACGTAGTTACGTAAAAGCGAAAAGTGCCACTTTATTGAACGACTAATTTAATGTGGCCGCATCGTTAACTTATTTCTTTCTATCATCTTGCCCTTTTTAATTATTAAATATTTATATTTTATTTTTTACTTTATTTTTTTATATAATAATATTATCTCATATCTTAATTTTTTCTTATAAATATTGCAAGTTTATTGTCCGTTGATTAAGACGATACAATAACAACCCTCTTCCAAGCAAGTTGTTAATTTGCTTTTTTCAATAATTCCTGGCAACTCCAACCGCACCCTAAACCTTCATTTCCATCTTCCGGTCGCCGTACTACCTCCGCCCTCAATTTCTCGACTTTCATTCCCCTTATTAGCCTCCGTGTGGATACCAAAGGTATACTTCTCCACTGATATTTCTTATTGTTCTGTTAAATTCCCCTAATTTCTATTTTCTTTCTTTGAATGTTTTGTTTGTTGAGTATGTTTCTGAATTGAAGTGAACTGCTCTGTTCCCACTCCCTTTGTTTAAAGAAAACCCCATCACCGACTTTGAAAAGTCCTTTTTCGTTTCTTTTTTGTTTCCGACATGAAAACGGCTTCGTAACTGCGTTCTCTGTTAAGAAATAAGTACAACGATATTCGGCATCCACAACAAACATCTACTTCTCCATTCGTATTTTTCAATTTTCGTTATAAGTAATCTCTCTGAGCTCTCTCTCTCTCTCTCTAAGACCGCCGCTTCATTTGCTCCTCCTTCCTCTCTCTAGGGTTTTGAGGTTTGAGCTTGTTCTATCGAAAAATCATAAATTTCTACTTTATTGTAGGGTTTTTGACTTTGCTGCACGGTAAAACGGGAATCTTTCCTCTGGTTTCACGCTGAGTTGCTGTGATTTGTTGGCCCCTGCAATTGGTTTTCCCTCAAGGTTTTGTTTCTTCTTCTTCTTCTTTTCCTTTTGTTTAAGTTAATTTGGGCTTACTTTTTATTGATATAGAATTAGAATCATTTTTTAGCTGCTCTTTATTTATGTTCTTGTTCTTTTTGGATGACATTTGGTAACAACTTAATTTAGATTATTGGAGCTAGATATTGTACTTTAGGGTTTAATTGTCATGTTCCTTGCAGTTGTATGCATAGAGTTGGTGGGAAATCGACTCTCATTAGGTCCTTTTTTCCCCGGAAATATTAGTTTTTATGTGGCGCGTATTGATGCTGGGTGCTAACTTTTGTATTTTCTGCGGTGGTCCGATACATTCGAGGAGCATGTGGTGTTTGATCTTCCTTTTTTTTGCGCGTAATTCACATCATTTTATCTTTATTTTCTGTTTTTGGATAATATCATGTAATGGCATAGTCCACGGTTTTTGTAGCTTGGAATCACACATTAGGGTTCAATTGGTTTGTAACTTGCACTTTTCTGCATAAATTATTTGTGCTGCTTTTTCAAATTCTAGTTTCTGTAGTGATTGAGATTAATGATGCATGATAATAGCTCATTTTTTAGCTGCATCGGTCTGATTTCTTTGGGGAGCATGTGTTGTTTGTCTTTGTCTTGTGGTGTTGACACGTTCACCCTAATTTGCCAGGTAGAAAACACCGCTTCAAATTTTCTTACATCTCAATTCTATCTCCGCTGTTTTCTTTGCTCTGCTTCTGTTTAGTACCAAGCTCTTTGTTGTTCTTCTTCTCCAGGTTTTCCTCTGTGTTCTTATCTTTACCCTCTTTGTCCTGTACGTGTTTGATAAAATTCCTCTTTCAGCTTTATTGTGTTTTTCTTTGTTCAAAGCATATTGGTTAGAAAAATTCCACGGAATTGTAGTAAAAATGTCCGGCTAAAGCTGTTTAGAGAAAAGTCTACAAAGATGTTAGACTCCGGATTTCATGATTCTTTCTTATGAAATACATTATTTTTTTTACAGTTCTGACGCGTATATTCCTCAAAACGAACACTTCTACATTTTTCTTTATCCAGTTTTTTCGACCTACTCAATTCTTCTCCGACTTTCCTCTGTCTTTTAAATATGTTCTCTGCTACACAGTTTATGACTTTTTCTTTTTCCTTTTTTTGTTCAAATTGGGTAAATTGTTGGTTGCGACTGTTTGTGAAATTACATACAATTTCAACCTCATGGCGTTAGTATATCATCTCTATTGTAAAAAGCTTATGGGATTTTTCATATTCCAATTTGCCCTTTTATATGAAAAGTTTTAAGCTTTTTATACATTAGTTTTGGATTTTTGGTGCAGATTGTTATCTTAATTTTTTTCTATGTTGGATTTCTGTGGAATTATGATATATATGTGTTCTTACTCAAAAAATACAATATGTTTTTCTCATTATCTCCTTTTCTAATTTTAATTTATCAGCTTGCTATCAACAAGTTTATGATTTGTTGTGCGATGACACGAAGAATAATGTAGTCTGGAACTGAACTTTGGACTTTTACGTCTGCGAAGTGGACAAAAACTAAGATGAAAATTTTGTATGTCGATTACCTACTTTGTTGATGGTTGCTTTGATAAGAACATGGTCCCTGTCTCTTTGGACATTGGGATTTTTAGCTACTAACTTCCTTCCTTTTTAATAAGTTTATGTGTTGTTATCTGTAAGTTTATCATAGCCCCACAGATTTTCTTAGTGAGATTGACTAATTATGTTTAATGGGCATTCACCAATATCACTAAATTTAGGATATGCTAGAAATTCTTGATTCTTAAATCCACCACAATCAATTCCTAAAGTTGTAGTATTTCCAACTTTACTTAGTTAGCACTTATCATGTTATTAACCTGAATATGGTCTGTCATAAAAGCGTTTGTTGGCAAGCTAAAATCTGGAAAGTTCTTTAGTACATCAAGTCACCTAACCCATAAGTTCAGATTCTTTGGTGGTTGTAGAGTTCACTTGTTTTTCTTCCATTTATTCTATGATTTATTTTGTTGTTGGCAGTAAACTTTCTCCTCTACCAGTTATTCACATAATGTCCTATACCATTGGTGTTTACTCGCTATGAAGGTACCTAAAAACTTTTTTCATATTGCACATTTGGAATAGCAAAGATCATTACCAAGTTTGGGACCAAGCAATGGTACTAATAGGAGATGATGAATTAAGAGGTGCCTTCGATGTGCTTGAAGATGCAAACACTCCCGAATTTTGGGGTATTATGTATCTATCTTTTATGTATGGTTCAACTAAATAGCAGTAGGGCTTTAAGTACAATATACTTATGTCCTCTTTTGCATATATACATAAAAGTACCTCATCAGCACATGCTGTACATATAAATCTTTTGGTTATGGTTATCTATTTTGCTTTCAATATGGATCAGTGTTTATGTTTCTTCTGCCATAACACTATTGCTGAATTGACCTTCTCCATGAAATTATTTTCAGAATTTTGCCCGGATTAGTGTAAGGATCCAAGGTTTATGTCTATCCATGTGAAAAATAGTTGGCTTATGTCTATCCATGATTCTGTCATTTTCATACAGAAGATTTAGTTATAGTTTCCTGTTTTGATTTCAATTTAGAGGGGTGTTCTCTATTGGCACAATAACATAAAGTCGAATCAAAAGTTTTACCTGTATTACTACCTCAAAAAACCCACGGAAGAAATTACATGAAACTTCTCATGATAAATCCAGCATTATCTCGCAACAATGCTAGCTTCGGTTGTGGCATAGTTGGGGAAACATATGACGAAATACTAACAATTGTTGTTGCTTCCACTTCAACAGGTACGAATTGAACTAAACCATCCATACCTTGTGTATTTTTCACATAAATAAGAGAAATTTCAATATTAAGTTTGCGATAAACTCTTTTAAGTGTTTAATTTTCACACTTTCTCTTTGTGAGTGAGTTTGCCTGAGGATTTACCATCTCATTTTCGATGAGACTGTGATATAAATACACCTACTTATCTTGATTTCCAAAACTAATTTCTAAGGAAACATTATTCTCCGATTACGTGTATATACTTATTTTTGGTACTGAGGTCCTTTCTTACTTTTACTTTTTCTGTTAACTTTAACATATAAGTAGTAGTGGTTTCTACTAACTAAGCCTATCCTTGATCTTGCTTGTGTCGAAACATATACTTAGTGGAAGTATATTACTCATTTTAACACAGTTGTTAGGTGCTCATTCATGAACTAATCTACTTTTCTGCTACGAAAGCAAGCAATTTAAAATCGATTTCTGCTGCAACTCAGTTTTGGTTAAGATTTCTTCTTTTTATGTGTCTTGAGTTTGGAACAACTAAGTTTACTTCTCATCGGTACCACTTGCAGAAGTTTAAGCTGCCAGAACCTGTTCTTTGCCGGTGTTTTTGTTAGCATGCGACGACAAATAGCGACGAGGGCCCGCTTCATTGAAGCGAGAGGCGAGAAGCGAAGCGCTTGCCTTTTTGATGTGAAGCTACAATTTATCCAAAAAAATAAAATTTTAAATTTGCATATATATATATATATATATATATATATATATATANAGCGTACGGCGACAAATAGCGACGAGGGCCTGCTTCACTGAGGCGAGTGGCAAAGCGCTCGCCTTTTTTATGTGAAGCGACAATTATACGAAAAAATATATATTATGTAAAACTAAAAACTCAATAGCAATAATATATTAATAAATATATCAATTCAAAAATTAAAAACTCAATAGATAGTGTTGCTCGATCAAAAACAGAGCAAAAACAGAGTTGAATGCTACTCTTTGTTGAGTGCTGCTCGATAAAAAACAGAGCCAAAAAGAAAAGAGAGAAGAAGAAAAAGAAAGAAAGGAGAAAGAAGACCGAAGAAAGAAGAAAGAAGAAGAAAGAAAAAAATGGCAGAAGAACAAAGGAGAAGACGAGAAGCGTACCTGGCTGGGTCGACTTGGATGAAGAAGAAAATGGCAGAAGAGATGAAGAAGAAAATAGAATTGATGTGGCTGGGTCGACTTGGAGAAAAAAATCGCTGGTCTGCTTGAAGCTTGAAGAAGAAAGAAATCCCTGATAGCCCTAATCGTGAGTCTTTTTCTTTTAATCCTTGCGTTTTTTCTTTTATTTTTTAAAAAAGCGACGCTGCAGTAGCTTCTCGCTACATTGTCGTCTCTCGCTACACAGGTAGAGGCGAGCGCTATTTTGAAAACGCAATGCAACAGAGGAAAAAAGCGCTGGATGCTCGCATCGCTACGCCTCACGCTATTAGCGCTAAGGCGAGCGCTATTTACAACCCTGCTCTTTGCATTGGTGGAATCCTAAAAGTAGAGCTCTTAGCCAGAGTTCAAAGACAAGAAATTGATGGTCTTTTATATGGCCAGTTCCCTCTTTTGATTAAGTTTTTAGTTGTTGGGTGGCTATACTGATCTGTGCTTCCAAGTGCAGCGACCAGTTGATTTAAGTTTTGATTCGGATTTGTTTATTATGTCTTCTCTATTATGGAGAAACTGTTAGAGATGCTATTTTATTAAGTTAGTTATTGCTAGCTCAACTTGTATGTCCATATAAGACTATGAAATCTAGAGTACCCTTAGACAAAGATTCAGTATTGGAATAGAGACGGGCCATAATAGAGTAGAATGGTAAAGAGGCTTCATATAGCTGACCTCAACTTGTGTGGGGTTGAGGGATAGTAGGGATACAACAACAACAACAACAACAACCCAGTAAAATCTCACAAGTGGGGTCTGGAGAGGGTAGAGTGTACGCAGACCTTACCCCTACCCCAAGGGGGTAGAGAGGTTTCCGGTAGACCCTCGGCTCAAGAAGACGAAAAGAGAGATAATAATCAGTACTATCAACAGAAAACAATAGAAATAATGTCAGCAACATAAGAAACAGAGAATAGCTGAGAGAATAGTGTGAACATAATATTAACCACTAGCCGTCTAAGACAAAACCCGATAAGGCTAGCGTAACACCTGTGCATAGTAGAAAAATGCTCAACTACCACCTAACCTACAACCCTAATGCTCGACCTCCACACCTTCCTATCACGGGCCATGTCCTCGGAAGTCTGAAGCCACGCCATGCCTTGTATGATTACCTCTCCCCAATACTTCTTAGGCCGCCCTCTACGTCTTCTCGTACCCACCAAAACCAATCGCTCACACCTTCTTACCGGGGCATTTGGGCTTCTCCTCCGTACGTGCTCGAACCATCTGAGCCTCGCTTCTCGCATCTTGTCATCTCTTGTCGTGGGCCAAATGTTCTCTTTTTCTTTTAGATTTTTGCTGCAAATTGGAGTTGCCCAATTATATAGAAGTTGGCTAGATTTCTGGGAGGTTTGATGGACTTTTGTATACAGATTGTCTCGGAGTTGTACCAACGTATTCTACCATCCCGAAAAAACGGGACCAGACATACAACCCCAATTTTACTACGATTTTCAATTTAAAAAGACCACCACATAAAATCTATTGCCATTTGTTCTACGAACTTACAAAAATAGGTAACCAGTAAAATCTAGTGTGAAAAATATATATTTTTGTTGTGTTCTTTTTATGTTCAAGTTATTCTTCTGAATGGTTACTGGTTTGTTACAGAGTAGAGGGAGTTTAGGGAGTTGTGGTGTCTCCAACTTCCCCGAATCACCTGTCTTTCTGCAGAGCGAAATTCTAAGTTGTTCTTTTTTCGTCTTTTTTTTTTTTTAATTTCATTTTCTTTTGGTATTTTATCCCAGTTATATCAGTAGTTTCTTAGAGCCTTGTTTTAACTTTCAAGGCCATTCAACCCTTCGAGCTTAAGATTGTGTCAATACAAGTTTAACTCTAATGCTCCTTTATTTCTGTTTTACTCTTAGATGAGAATGTGCACAGTTCAAGAAAAGCCTGATAGCTCTAACAAGCACAGGGAACTGAAGAAAACCAAAGTTGTTCAGTAGCTGGCTTGGCACATAGAGAGAAACTTCAGGCAGTTATATGATATATAGGAACTAAGATTTTGTTGGTGATATCTTGTGCATAGTTAAGGTTTAGATTCAGTATAGAACTGCCCTTTCTAAAATTCTTGGAATACTGTGATATACTTTGAGCATAAGATCGACGGGAAGGAACTTTCACAATTTTCATAATTCTTATTTCGTTCTTATGTGAAGTTTATGAATTGATCTTACCAAATAACTTCTGAGTTACAGATATATGTTAAGGCGTACAATGACATTAAACACTATGCTTTTGCAGAACAGTGTAAATCACATGTCTTCTCAAATACTTGATTCAGAAGAAAAATAAAACACCTATACCTCATTTCATAAAAGCTGAAATTAAAAAACTTTACAAGCCTTTGCAATTTGAAATATGTGTTAAGCTCACAAATACCTCTTAATAGATTTTAATGTTGTCACGTCTTGGTTTAAACTCCGTTAAAAGTGGAGCAAACAGTCTATATTTTCTTTAGCAAAAATAGTAACAGAAATGTTAGATGTAGTTGCTGCTTCTGCTATTCGTTTTGATAATTTCAACAGAAATAAAAATGTTCGTGGATCTGCTAACGTGAAGCTTCATCTAGCCGTTGGGCCCGGGCTTAGCCCGGGCATAACCTCACTAGTGAATATTATATACATAAACTTAATTCAGTTATGTAACAACCAATCTCAAAATCCACTCTATTGAAGAAATCTTCACAAATTAAGTAGTAGAGAAAAGGAAAAGAATAGGCCTATCCTCAAGGTTGCTAAGCATCACAGGAGTATATAAAGAAAAGTGGGAAACAGAAATAAACCTAAACCAAGTGCATCACAAGTGGATTACTAGTTTTTCTTGGGGTGCAAACTGTAATAATCGCAACTTTCGGAAGGTAGAAAATCATCGATTTTTCTTAGAAGTCTTTATCAGAAAACGAGGGTCAGTGCTATCGGCGACTTAAGCAAAATATCGCCCGTAGTATTTCGTTACTGCAAATCGTAGATTACTCGGCAGACAAAAAGGTGAGCTTCATTTTTTGTTCTATTGTGTCCTTTATTCATTATAATTGCATTTGGCTTTTTCTGTTTTAGCTTCCTAATTTGTATAATTTTGTATTATTAAATGAAATTGACTCGAATAGAGCGAAATGGATATAAAGGATTTGTATAGTCAATTAAACTAGTTTTTTGGGATTGAGGTGTAGTTTGGTGATTGATTGATTGATAGATATATTTAACCTTTTACTATTGTTCCTTGAAATTGTAGGTAAGCACAAAATTACACACTTAGGCATGTGTTCAGGAGATTGAATTTGTTGTAGGTTTATATGTTGTGCTTTTGGTGTGGGAGGTGATTAGGGTTTTCGGTTTATTGGTTTGACTTAGCTATGACTGATGATGTTCAACTTTGATTTGTGAGATAGAATTGGAACTAGCTAGGAAACCATCAGCTCTCATTTTTTTGATAACCGCGATATCCGGGCCAGCTTGCTAATTCCACGAGATTCCTGCTACCTTCCACCAGCAATCAGGTACTCTGTCCACCAAGGCTTAGACAGATGGAAAGAAATCACCCAATATTTTTGTCTCCGAGATTTGAACCCGAGACCTCATGGTTCTGAACCCACTTTATTGACCACCAGGCCACACCCTTGGGTGTTAAACATCAACTCTTATTTTAGCCCCCATGGCTTAGTTCAAGTGGCAAAATATCGGGGGATTTGTGAGTTGCATCACAAGTTCGAGCTCTGCATCATGCGAACTAGGCCTGGTATTTAACTATTTAAGTGGTGAAGAGTAGAAGGGCGGGCCCATTATGAAGGCTGCGGTTGGTTCTAAGGGTTGGCTCTGGACGTATGTCCTTGATGTCAAAAAAAATATCAGCTTTCATTTCGCGGGGTTTTAGAGAAATTACTTGTAGTTTGTCAACGAAACCACGAAAAAATTGTTGTTTTTTCTTGTGTGCATTAGAATGCCAATGATTATGTGCAGTTAAATAAGATGAAATTCTTGGACTAGCCCGTTCTCGGTAGTGTATTTGGCTGGGAATAAAAATATTTATGGAAATTTTGAGGTAGGCCAAAATAGAGTAAGATAGATATAGATGAGTCATATAGATGGGATTGAGGCTCAGTTGATTGATTGTTTGATGGAAACTTTGTAGTTGAGTCTCAGCTCTGTTCTTATTTTTAGAACATTCAGAACGGACCATAAAAATAGAGGTGATATATGCAGAATCATTCTAGGTCTACACATGTGAGAGCATGACTTTTTGATCAAAAGCCTCATTCTTCCCGAATTAGATTGCTAAATAGCTAACCTTTTGCTGCTGTTTATTCTGAAGGAAGTGGCAGGCAATATTTTGAACCTTTTCACGCTAGATTTTACTGGTTACCTATTTTTGTAAGTTTGTGGAACAAATGGCAATAGATTTTATGTGGTGGTGTCTTTTTAAATTAAAAATCGTAGCAAAATTGGGGTTGTATGTCTGGTCCCGTTTCTTCAGTATAAATACATTGGTACAACTCCGAGACAATCTGTATAAGAAAGTCCATCAAACCTCCCAGAAATCTAGCCAACTTTTATATAATTGGGCAACTCCAATTTGCAGCAAAAATCTAAAAGAAAAAGAGAACATTTGTCCTACGACAAGGGATGACAAGATGCGGGAAGCGAGGCTCAGATGGTTCGGGCACGTACGGAGGAGAAGTCCGGATGCCCCGGTAAGGAGGTGTGAGCGGTTGGTTTTGGTGGGTACGAGAAGAGGTAGAGGGCGGCCTAAGAAGTATTGGGGAGAGGTAATCAGACAAGAGATGGCCCTTGATTTCAGATTTCCGAGGACATGGCCCTTGATAGGAAGGTGTGGAGGTCGAGCATTAGGGTTTTAGGTTAGGTGGTAGTTGAACATTTTTCTACTCTGCACAGGTGTTAGGCTAGTCTGATCGGGTTTTGTCTTAGATGGCTAGTGGTTAATTAATATTATGTTCACACTATTCTCCCGTTTTTCATTGTGCCGGGCCTTATCTACTGGTTGTTGTTAGTGTTTTGCATCTATTCTCTATTTCTTATGTTGCTGTCATTATTTCTATTGTTTTTTATTGATAGTACTGATATATTATCTCTCTTTTCGTCTTCTTGAGCCGAGGGTCTACCGGAAATAGCCTCTCTACCCCCTCGGGGTAGGGGTAAGGTCTGCGTACACTATGCCCTCCCCAAACCCCATTTGTGAGATTTTACTGGGTTGTTGTTGGGATATTCTTAGAAAGCGCTCATCTTTGAGGCCATTTTGGGGTGCGTTAATCTGCTCTTTAGTATTACTTATTGATCTGCTGAAATTACTCTGAAAGGACGTTTGGGAAGGGAAAGATAAGGCTACAAGAGATGAAATGCTCATGTACTTATATTGTCAGTTTTGAGTTTTTGGGATGAAGCTACAAACTTTAAGGGTGTGTTTGGTACGAAGGAAAACATTTTTCGGAAAATGTTTTTCAATTTTTCCATGTTTGGTTGGTTTAAATGTTTTGGAAAACATTTTCTTTCTAAACTCATTTTTCTCCAATTGGAGGAAAATGTTTTCCTTATCAAGAGAAGGGAAAATATTTTCCAAAACTTCTTCTCAACCTTCCCCACCCTCACCAACCCACCCCACACCCCCACACCCACCTAACCCCACCC